AATCCAAAACCTTGGCAGGCTTGCTAAAACAGTTCATCAGTTGTTGGAGCTCTTTGGCAGAATGGGCAACAACAGCCGCATTATTGGTGAAGAGGAAGTCCCACATGCATTTCAGCCGGACTTTGGTCGTTGCTCTCTATCTAGAGAGATTAAAGAGCTTTCTATCTGATCTATTCCAGAGATAGACATCTTTCATTGCAGTTCCAAAAGTGTGCTTCAGCCTGACAGCAAAAAACATCCCAAACAGAATTGGTGCAAGGGCACAGCCCCGTTTCACTCTGCTTAGGATGTCAAACGTATCTGATTTTGAGCCATCAAAAACTACAGTGCCCTTAATTTCCTCATGAAAGGATCTGATGATGCTGAGGAGTCAAAGTGGACATCCAATCTTGAGAAGTATTTTAAAAAAGCCGTCCCTGCTAACCAAATCAAAGGCCTTTGTGAGATCTATGAAGGCCACAAGAGTGGCTGTCGATCCCTACATTTCTCCTGCAACTGTCTGAGGGGAAATACTATGTCAGTGGTGGATCTATTAGCTCAAAATCAGACCTAAAAGAGTTTAATTTTAGTTGGATTGGTTTTTAGGTATCAGTGGCCAGAATTTAATGTTTGTCTCAAATAAAATAGAACCATTGGGTCAGTGAGTTATATTTAAGTGTTGATGCTCCGTTCAGTAATTGATTCACAGGGTTTACTCTAGTTGTGACTAATTTAGGCCTGTGAGTTATCTTTGTCTTATCAATTTGTGAAGGTTTAGAAATCAAGACCTTGCTTCCCTTGCAGCATTTGATTTAATTTAGTCTTATTATCATTTGCAAAGATTTAGCTGGGAATTATGTTATTAACAGACTTTTAAAAAATAAAAATAAATCCATGCATTTCATTATAAAAATGCTGAACAATAGTTAGCCAAGAGTCTGTGTGTTCTTTAGAGCACAAGCAGCTTGTGATTGAATGCCCCCCCAGATTTTTGAGGTGATGCATCATCATCATCATCATCATCATGTATTGTCACTGAATGTATACACACCATATACTCATACAATGAAATTCACAAAGAACACTCAGACAATACCAAAACACACACACCCTCATAACAATCCCAAAACCCAGAACTCTGCCTAAGAGCACACAGTATTCACAAGGCATCCCCCATTTTGGTCCATAAGCCACCCCTGCTGTAAAGCAGCTTGATTTAGAACAGGGAGGCAGGTAGAGATGGGCACGAACCAAACTGCAAACCAGACATGCTGATGAACTGGGCTCATTTGTGGTTTGGTTCATGACCCAGTTCAAGGATACTGTTTTACCAGAGCAAAATGAATCAGCAAACTTTTCCACCCACAACACTTTGTTTCATTTGGCAAAAGGGAATGCCCATCTGCCCACTGACCCTGTTGCCTCCCTACCTGCTTCTGCTGATGCCCCTGCCTCCACCACCATCCTCTGAGGCAGTGGGCTCTGCCACTGCCCATCAGCTGGGCAGTGGGACATGTGCAGAGGCAGCAGCCTGCTCCTGGCAAGGAAGCTGGGCCATTGTTTCTGAGCATGTACCCATCACCCAGCTGATAGGCGGGTGCATGTGCAGGCAGAGGACCCAGCTTCCCTCCCAGGAGCTGGCTGCTACCTCTGCACATGTCCCACTGCCCAACTGATAGGCAGTGGCAGAGCCCACCCCAGCACAAACCAGAAAAATGAATTGTGCACCAGTTCATTTTACTGCGGGTTTATGATGGTTCGTGGCTAACCACAAATCATCATGAACCACTGGATTTCCAGTTCATGCCCATTTCTATTGAGTCACATTCATGTGGCTCATTTTTAAATCAGCATTAACTGTAAACTTTCCACTTTACAGAAGTGTGAGAAGCTGGTACTTTCCCTGCTGTGCAATAACCTGAGTCTTCCATTCCACGAACCAGTCAGCCCCCTGGTAAGTTTTACACAAGCTGTAATGATCTTATTAGAAATATTTGTGTACCATCATATCCTTTTCTCTGAGCTTGGAAATAATGTATTAAAATGAACACATTAATGTAAAGTTTGCCACTTTTTCAAACAGGAGGGGGAAATTAATCTAATGCTTTAAAAAGAAACCTTTAGATGTAATATTAGTTTTAGTGAGTGAAATCCTGTTCCTTAGCATAGTAAGTTGCAACTAGAGCAAATTTATTGAATCAGTGGGGATTTGGTGAGTTGACTCCTCCTTAATCCATTGATCCAGTGGATGTATGGTTAAGATTTACTTACTTATTCTATGCATGTTTATCCCAATTTCTTTTTCACGGACACCCATTCACCATTCAACTAGAACTAGCTTTATATAAATGATTTTTAACCTTGGCACTTCCGATATTTCTTGACTTCAACTCCTACAAGCCCTAACAGCACACACAATGGGCAAAGTTTCTGGAAGCTATTGCCCAATGATGCTAGGGGACCTTTGCTTTCCAAAGAACTTGTTATTCTCTGACAAGTCAGAAATGCACTTCTTTTAGCAGACCATAACTGAAGCCTTATTTGAAAGTACAGTCTTAACAAAGCCTGCTCATAAACCCAGCCTTTGACATTCTTCAAGGAATGTGAGGCATAAGAATAAATTCCTACCATATCCACAGCTTGGTGAGAAAGTCACATAACTAGAAATGACTAGCTTCCAGTCTGCCATAAATAACGTAGTTACGAGCAAAACTTTTGATTTCACATTTTGGGCAGAACCAGGAAGGAGAGGAGTAAGTAAGCTGAGGTAGTTGTTCTATCTTTGAGTTGCTTGAAAGATAGACAATGGGACTAATGGAGAAGCTGTGGCTGTAGGAAAATGGCTGGAAAGGAGAAGTCACATATCCTTCTTTTGAAGCCATAGGATTTTCACCACCTTCACCTTCTCATCTCTCTCCCAGTACAAGAATGAAGCAGGCACATGATCTGAGCAGCAGCAGAAATGACAAATGTCAGATGTTCAGAAGTGGTGGGATTGATTTTCCCACACAATCCCTATCATAAAATATAAGGTATAATTAATAAATTAATTGTGTGCTATCAAGTCTATTCTGATCTAAAGCAATCCCTTTCAAGATTTTCTAGATAGAGTGTACTCAGAAGAGGTTTACCATGTCCTTCTTCTGGGGGAGGGAGGCTGGGACTGGGCAGCTTGCCCAGCGCTACACAGGCTGGCTCTTCTCCCAGTGCAGAATTGAACTCCTGACCTCTGGTTTGCAGCAAGACACCTAATTCACAAGGATTCAAAATGTTAAATTAGAACTTCCCCAAGAACTGAATTAAAACAATTTTAATACTGTTTAAAAGAAGTACATGAGAAATTGAACTTCAAAGAAAAGGAGACTCGTTAGCAAAAGAAGCATGTTTCAAAGAAATATGCATGCTCACTCCGTGGCAACCATGCAATACAGCTTAACAAATTTTATCATGCATAAACTAGAGCCACATCATAACTTCAAGATTAAATAAAGCAAGCCTCAAGTTTGTGTTTCCATTAGTGTGTTATTAAATATATCAAAGAACCCTTTTCTTGTTGTAAGATGTTTAATAGAACAGCTACCTCAATGTCAGAGATATTTGGGGGAAGGACCATCCAAAACAATCCAGCATATTTACTCTTTAATTTGCTGGTTTTGTTCTAAATGCAAACTTTAAAAATACTGCTCAAATGACACTATCCATGGGAGACTGGAGATCAATAAACCTCAACTGTATGACAGGGGATGTAGTAGGAGACTTCCCAAAATGTGAGGACTGTCCATATATTCAGTCCCTAGGCAGCACCCTGTTGGCAGACCCTTTCATTCCGGAAGTACCATTGTACTGCTTCAGACACAACTGAAGAGGAAGAATTGCATTAGTATCTCTTCCCTACCTCCCGGGTGAATTTGGTAGAAATCGGTTACTGTTAACCTGTGTAGGCTGTCACAGCAAAGGCTCTGGAGGAGCTGAGAAATCTTTTTCTTAGATGATACGTTGAAGGCAAGTATTCTGCTAACATGAAAGTGCTCAAAGAAATGATTGTGTCTGTGCAGTTAGCCTTCTTGCATATGTATGTGTCACCCTCTCTGGGTGCAGAAAATAAATGCTGTATTAGGATACACTTCTTTCCCCAGACTAATTATTTGCACATGTATAGAAATTATCCTCTCTAGTGAACATGTGGATTATGGGAAAATATCATCACAGGAAAAAAAATGGCAGGTTGGAGAAGGCAGTAACAGAAAGAGCACTTATGAAGGAGCTGGTAACAAGTGTGCCGTCATGAATCAGTGGTGACAACCTGCAAACCCTTCAGGTTTAAATGTTAACAACAATGAACTAATCTCCAAAGTTTCTGATATTTAACACTATTTAATTATTTTTCATATGTAATGTTCTAAGCCACTGGTTCTTAACCTTGGGTTACTCAGGAGTTTTGGGCTGCAGCTCCCAGAAGCCTTCACCACCAACTGTGCTGGCTGGGGTTTCTGGGAGTTGCAGTTCAAAAACATCCGAGTAACAAAGTTTAAGAACCACTGTTCTAAGCTGTGCTTTTTCTTAGCCCTTTCTGTGTTCAATTCCCATTGGTCTCCTAAGCAACAGCCATATTGTCTGTTCGCAAACAGTGCCTTGCTTTCTACAGTGCCTGTGCCTGTTTCAAGTAACTGCTCAGAGTTATCAAGATCTTTACAACAGTGCTCTCAGATGGATAGTCACAGCTTCATGGTGTTCTTTCCCATATTTTGTATGTATAGTCATAGGACTACTGTATGTAGAAGTACATTCATAGCATACAATCATATTTCCCCCTCCAAGCTAAAGAACGTGAGCTCTTTTATTTTTTTCCCCTCTAAGGAGTGGAGGAATATTGTTCTTTGTCTGATTCTCTTACGAGTCCTATCATTTCCATTTCTTAACTCATTGGTGTCTATATGGGTGGAGAAAATGCTTATAGAGTTAAATCATTTATTAAAAATACCAATGAGATTTCTTTACAGGCTCGCCATTATTATCAGATAATTAAAAGGCCTATGGATTTGTCCACTATAAGGAAAAAACTCCTGAAAAAGAACAAATTGCATTACTCCACTGCTGAGGAGCTTGTAGCAGATGTACGCCTTATGTTCTGGAACTGTGCAACATTTAACTATGTAAGTACTTCTCAGCTCCAGGAGTTCCTGGATGAGACTGATTATCTACATTTCAGCCTGGCTTCAGGCCTGGTTACGGGATGGAAGACTGTTCTGGTTGCCTTGGTGGATGATTTATGCCAAGATTTTGACAAGGGGACTATGTCCCTTTTGGTTCTGCTGGAACTCTCTTAAGCTTTTGATACCATGGATCATAATATTCTCCTGGCCCATCTCTCTGAGATGGGACTTGGAGGCACTTGTTTTACAGTCCCTCAGGTCCTTCCTAGAGGAGAGAACTCAGAAGATGGTGTTGGGGGACTCCTGTTCAGCACCCTGGCCACTGGCACTGCGGGGTCCCTCAGGGTTCTGTTTTGTCTCTTACATTATTTAATATCTACATGAAACCACTGGGAGAGATTGTCCTGAGTTTTTGGAATTGCTGTCACCAGTATGTGGATGATGCCCAACTCTATCTCCCCTTGCCATCTAAATCTGAGGAAGCTGTTTCAGCTCCAGATCAGTGCCTAGTGTTAGTAATGAACTGTATGAGGGTGAACAAACTGAAACGTAATCCAGACAAGACAGAGGTGTTCCTGATCAGTCAAAAGGCAGATCGGGGAACAGGGCTGAGGACAATGCTGGATGGGGTTACTCTTCCACTGAAAACCCAGATGCACAGCCTGGGAGTACTCCTGAATTTGCCTCTGAGTCTGGAGGCCCAGGTTTTAGCTGTGGCCGATAGTGCATTTGCACAGTTAAAACTAGCTGTGCCCATTCCTGGAAGGGTCTGATTTGGCCATGGTGACACATGCCCTAGTTACATCTCGACTAGATTACTGTAATGCGCTCTATGTGGGACTGCCTTTGAAAAGTGTTAGGAAACTACAGTGGGTCCAAAAGCAGCAGCCAGATTGCTTTCTGGGTCTGGACACAGGGATCACACAACCCCCTTGCTACGGCAACTCCACTGGCTGCCAATCTGTTTCAGGGCAGAATTCAAAGTGATGGTTCTAGCCTATAAAGCTCTAAATGGCTGGGGCCCAAACCATCTCAAGATCATCAGGAGAGGGCTTCCTCTCGGTCTTACCACCTCCACAGGTGTGTTTGATGGGGACCCAGGCCTTCTCTGTTGCTGCTCCCAGACTCTGACACTCCCTTTCACAGGAAGTTGGGTTGGACCCATCTTTACTGTCCTTCCGCAAGCAGATAAAGTCCTTTCTCCTTCAAGCAAAATTTCCCTGAGTGAATGGCTGCCAAGTGGGTTTTTTAAAATGTATCTTACTGCTTGGAATGTGTTTTGGTGTTGCTTATTTTTTTGCGTTACATTCACTGATACTTTTACTATTGTATATTCATTGTTACTAATTACTATTTTTTAATTGTTGTAAGCCGCCTTGGGTCCTTTTTAATGAGAAAGGTGGGTTAAAATATTTTAAATAAAGTAAAATAAGTATCTGTGATCCAGAAAACAGCCCACAGAATTACCCGTGCAAAGATTTTTCTTTTCCTATCTTTGTCCATTCCTCGTGATAGGGTAAGGATAGTTTGGTTTATTGTTAGATCCTTGCTGTCTGTGAGATAAATTCTGCAGGATTTGGCACCTTTCCCCTCTTGAGGTATTAGCCCATTGCTGTAAGTTATCTGGAAGTACGCACACTGTAACCTGGATCAGGGGGAGATGACAGACAAACAGGTTGACTTAAGTGTCTTGTCTCCCTGTGGGATTGTCTACAGTTGTTTTAGGAGTTTTCTGGTATTTTTGTTGTTGTTATTGTTGCTCCAGATATGTATAGATCATCTTGGAATTTGCATCCACACATAAAGGAGAGTATTAGTTGTTTGATATACTGGGTTGTCCTTAGAAACCTGTCTATGCACAGCCAGAATTGCTCCCTGACACCACAAATTGTTCCCCTTTTTGCCTGGCTTCTATGTCCTCTTGCCATCTGCTTCACATTCTCCTCTAGTTTTTACCCATCGACAGGGTATGGAGATTGACCAACTGAAGAACACCTGTACAAAAATGCCATTAAATGACACCTAGCCACAAACTGTGAATCAGCATGGAGCAATGCAGTACTTGGGTCCACATGAGCAGATATCCTTACTACAGCAACTCAGAGCAGTGTAGAACAAAAATATGACACTGCTCCGTGATGGTGTAAACTCCCTCCAGATCTTACTCTTGCTTTGATTCTATTGACACTAGTTTTGATTCTGCATTGTGTGGATGTCAGGATGCAGTACTGATATCTTGGGTGTAAGGAAAATTGAACAAATTTTCATTGTGGACTGACTTGAGATGTCCTTTCTAAGTATCCACTGGATGCAATATGAAGATTGGCACTTGGGCTTTATTTCCTGGTTCTTCTGGAAAAATCAGTATAGTCCTTTATTAGAGATTAGTAGCACCATGTTCTTCTCCACAATACCTTTCAGTATGCCTCCATACTTAGAAACCAGATGTCAAGGCTTCTGTAACCAAGTTCAGGAATCCCCCCCCCACCGCACAATGTTTCAATACATTTTCTAAAGCAATAAACATGTATTTTATACATGGTAATTTGCCTAATTAGAAGCTTTCGAAGATTGTAACCTAGGTTGCTATAAACAGAGCACCCATTTCCTGTACCCTGCTAGTATAAATACCAAATGTTCTTATATTTCTCAGTGCATTCTTTCTGTTTATTTTGTGTATTAATGTAAGGAAAATAAAGGGGGTCACAGCTGTAGCAACAGAGAAAGCAGCTCAGACTAAGTTAAGCACCACACTATTATAACAAATTGGGGGACGTGGTGGTGTTGCAGGTTAAATTGCAGAAGACTCTGTGCTGCAGGGTCAGAAGATCAGCAGCCGTAAGATTGAATCCACGCGACAGAGTGAGCTTCCGTTGCTTGTCCCAGCTCCTGCCAACCTAGCAGTTCAAAAGCATGCAAATGCAAGTAGATAAATAGGGACCACCTTGGTGGGAAGGTAAAGGCGTTCCGTGTTTAGTCACGCTGGCCATATGACCACAGAAACTGTCTTTGGACAAACGCTGGCTCTACGGCTTGGAGGCAGGGATGAGCACCGCACCCTAGAGTCGGACACAACTGGACTAAATGTCAAGGGGAACCTTTACCTTTACCTATTATAACAAATTATAACAACTTCTTTTGTAGCCTGATTCAGAGGTTGCTGAGGCTGGACGATGCCTGGAGATATTCTTTGAGAGTAAGCTCAAGGACATTTACCCAGAAAAGCAGTTCTATTCCTTGGTAAAGCAAGATGATTCTGATTCAGAGGAAGTGGATCATGAACAAACCAAAGTAGCTCCCAAAGGATTCCAGTGGCCCTCATACAGACAAGAGTGCATCCAGCCGAAAAGAAGACGACGGCATGCAGTAAGAAAACAAAGTCTAAAACACTTGATTCTTAAGTGGGCAAATCATAAAACTGATTTTGTGGATAACTATTGATGCTTTGACAGTATATTTGGGAATGAATTACACTGGAAGTAGAGAAGGGCGATGCTTTCAATAAACTGATTAGGAAGATGAGATTCATTTGTAGTCACATGAATAGATCAGTAGGAACAAATGAGTGAGTGAAGGAAGATCTGTCAAATAGTCTTATTTTGCTAAGTAAAACACAGTATAAAATAACGTTTAATTTTGTATCCTTTCTACACAGGACAGTGAAAAAACTAAAAGACCAATGTTTTGGCCAGCGAAAGGGCTTTCGCAGGTGTGACTTCTGGACTGCTGCTTGGTTTGCTGTGAAGAATGAAGAACAAAAATAATTGATGGTGTGACGGGAGACAGGCAATATCAATTACGTGTTTCACCTGAACTTCACACTAGTGGTTGACCAACTTCACTTACATATCCTTTGGGGAAATTATGTCTTCAGCATAATGTAATTTTAGTGGGTCATTGCCCAGCTATCTGTTTTGTCTAACAAGTTGTATTTACATGAATGTTTTGGTTATATACAATATCAATTAATAATAAAAATAGGATATTTGTTATGCTTATTTAAAAATTATTTTACAAATTCTCTTCACTCTATAGATTGTAGCTCACATAGTCCTCTGGGAGTCTTACCATCACAGGGCACTACACATACTTATACTGGATTAAAATCAGGAGCCATTTTACCATGGATATCTCAGTCTGTCCTCTCCTGTACTGAACAAAATAAATGCCACATTTATCTGGTATGAATAATGCACTTCCTTATGCAGCTTCTAGCCGTATGTTGTCTTGTTGATATGTTGTGTAACAGAAAACATAACCACGGGAATTCAGTTGAAGCAGTGACTTAGGAGGTTGAGTTTAACTGAGTTGTTTTGGCTCTTTGTTTATAGGAAGACCAGCATACAATGCTGAAAAAAAATAAGTGAGGGCAGAAATATGTATTATTATAGATGAGCTGTGATTAAAATTGAAAACATATTAGAAATGTGATTTAGGGTCAAATTGCATGTTAATAAAAACATCTATTTCTTCTTCTGACTTGTATCGGCAGTCCAGGGTTGCAAGTCTTTCCAAGTTACATCTCTAACATCAGAGGTGCAAACAAAGCTTTGCTGTCTCCCAGTTGGCTGGTTATGAAGCAAAATGAAGCTAATTTGCTAAATGTGGAAGGGTGCATGCTGTTTGAAGAAACGGCAGCTTTCCACCTGAGGGAGTGTTGCTTCTAGCGACATGTTTACTGTATAACCTATTTCAGCCCTCAGGCAAACTTTTGTATTCGAAAAAATCAGACTTCAAAGGATCCTATTCATATGCTCTGAAGATCAATCACCAGATAAGCTAATCTGCAAATTAAGTTGAGGTGAGAAAAGTTTCCACTGTGCATATAGATATGCCCAGCAATTAACTTATTCCTTTTTCTAATCACAGGCTATCAATAATAGTTTGCTTCTGCCCTGAAAGACCTGCATGCAGAAATTATAGCTTTTAGTTTCAGGGAGAAGTCTGGTACAGTTCCTTCCTACTCAAGAAGAATAGCTATGTGCCAGAAGTGAACCCTTTGCTTCACTCTTTGGGGTGAGGCTATAGCTTGGATGGCTATCTGACACCAGGAACTCACATGATCCCAGTGTTCAGTTTATTCTAGTCCTGTATCTGACTCGTACAGTGCTGTGTGTGTGTGATCATGGAGCCAGGCTGCATGGCATCAATTGCTGTACAGATTTCTGAGACATTGTTCTTGCCTTTTCTTGGCCTTCTTTCACCCTCCTAATTTGACTGGTATACTGTCAAACTAGAAGCTATACTGTCCATAATTTCAGGTGCAGTTGTTTCAGTTTATATAATGTTTGATACCATTCCTCACATCCTGTACTGATCACATACAGTAGTGCTCTCATCCACACCATTATCTCCTCCAGCTTCTTTAATCCTAATAAGTGAAATATTTAAAGCATACTATTAATGGAGACTGGGTGTGATTGCTGGTACACTGGTGCAGTCTTCTTATATGTCATGTGATTCTTTAAAATGAGAATCATTTTAAGGCCACCAAAGTGTAGTAATTTTCCAGGTATTCTATATTCACTGTAAATTTATCAATTTTTTCAGCACAGTCAATATAAATCTATTGAATATGGTATCCATGGATGTTATAATAGAGAACACTTCTACTGAGACTTTATAGAAATGTTAGGAAGACCTATTTTTTCCAATGTTAATATTGTTCAACGTTAATGCTGTAGGAACATGTTGTTTCTTTTCCTATTGTACAATAAACCAGTCATTGAAAAAATAATGTAAAGTGTTAAGCTAAGTTATTTCCCTGCCAATGTTCTCAGTGAGCATTCCATGTTTAATTAACAGGCAGTTCATATGCAAATCTGTGAATAATGTTAACTCCTGTGTCCTTGTTTTCCTTTGCAGAATGACCTTGACAATTTCAGTCACCCAGGATTTTGCAAGCTTTTGCCCAGATAGCAAAAGGTTCAGGAGCAAACATAATTCCAAAAAATGACACATGCACCCTTCACCAGTATCTCAATTACACAGCATTGCTATTTACAACATGGACTTACACTCTGAGGGTAGATTAACTGACAGTGTTGGCACTCCAGTCAATGTTGACTAACACTCCTGTCAAAGCCTTTGTCTCATTTTGGCATGGAAAGAGGAGGGCTGTTGACACAGTTGTTCCCAGTGCCACAGCACCCAGTCAGCTCTCTAGTTCATCAGCAAGTTTGGGGCAATGAAGAGGGCAGGACAATGACTAGAAGGCAGATGGCACAGATCTGACGGTGATTATGTATAGTAACACATGTAACAACACAGTACCATGCTTATGTTACGGCAATGGTGATAGTAGAGCTATTTCACTTTTCCGCCGCCATCACATTCTCAAGTAATCATCCTGCAGATGGGAGAGCCAAGGGAGAGAGCATTAAGTGTTGAGCAGACACACAGAAAGGAGAGGGTCACAACTAGTCAACTAACAATAGGCAGACCCAAGACCTGTTGGAGATGTGGAGATGTCAGCATCAGGCCTCATCACTTGTGGACAGATGCAGTTGTCCAACCTTTCACTTATTTGTTAGATCTGGGGCCATGAAACAGAATCCTGGTCCTCCAGCAACATACTTGTCAATCTATTGGCCATGAAATGGAGTCCTGATCCTGCATTCATAACTTGGAGACTATCCTGATGGGACCAGATCCAGCATGCACCTACCCACCTAGTGAAACTGGTTAGGTCAGAACTTGGCTTCAAGGATAGGACAAATGGTCTTGGTCCTGTGAGCAGTTACCCAAGGAGAAAGGGAGGAAAACTATATTTGGCTACAATTATCCATGTCCCAACTGGATTGTTATTGCACATTATAAGTGAAGCTGGCCATTAAGAAGAGCTGGAAGCTTCAGCTAGTTCTGAATTTGCCTACATGAATTCTGACCACCTTAGTTAAGTGGAGACGCAATAAACACATTAACAAAGAATTACATTTCCTGTTTTTTTGACTTTGGATCCTGATTTAAGGAGCTGGTGTTTACTTTTTTAAAAAAATATATTTTATTAGTTTTTCAGTCTATATACATTCAATTCGTGCTTGCTAAACATCGTGTTACATGGGTTGCTTATAATTATTATTTTTTTGCGCCTTGGTGTCTTCTTAGTAGTCCCTTCAAAATCTACATATTTTTAAACATTTAACCATTCATGTGTGTATTTTAGTATATAATATTGGTTACTATCATAATATTGCTCCCATAGTACACAATTTTCTCAAATCCTCTAATAATATACCTAATAAAATTAATTCCAAATTTATATAATTTTGAGGTGATTTAACTGACGAACTTTGTATTTTACACCAATAATAACTGAATATCATATAAAATGACACTTTTTCCTAAAATAATTAGGGGGAAATTGAGAGTCATTTTATACACGGAAGGAGGCAGAGGCAAAGGAGCACTCGTGCGTACTCGGGCACATCTTGCTGCTGCTGGCACCGCTGCCACCCATTGCCTCCTCCAGTGCAACTGCCAGGGCTCACATCCAACTTCCGTCACTGCCCTCCAGTGTTGGAGGCGGCAGCAGCAGGAGGCGGAGGGAAAGGAACACTCTCGCTTGCTTGGGTGCCTCTTGCTCCTGCCCATTGACTGTTGCTGCTGATGCCCAAGTGCCTCCTCCAGAGCTCCCATCACTGCCTTGCTGCCACCCATTGCCTCCTTCAGTGCAACTGCCAGGGCTCACATCCAACTTCCGTCACTGCCCTCCAGTGTTGGAGGCGGCAGCAGCAGGAGGCGGAGGGAAAGGAACACTCTCGCTTGCTTGGGTGCCTCTTGCTCCTGCCCATTGACTGTTGCTGCTGATGCCCAAGTGCCTCCTCCAGAGCTCCCATCACTGCCTTGTCCCCTCCAGGGGCAGAGGTGGCAGCAGCAGGAGGAGGAAAAGGAGGCAAAGGAGCACTTGCACATGCTGCAGGAGGAGAAGGAGGCAAAGGAGCACTTGCACATGCTGCTGCCCATTGACTGCTGCCGCTGCATCACTTCCTCCAGCACTCCCTTCGGGAAGGGGACAAGGTGATGGCAACGTGAGCTGGAGGTGAGCCCCGGCAATCGCAACAGAGGAGGTGATCAGGCAGCAGAGGTAGCAGCAGCAGGAGACGGGGGTGGAGGAGCAGTTGCCCATTAACTGCTCCTCTGCCTTCAGCAAGGGTCAAAATTAGGGGGGGCGTCTTATACATTGGGGGGTCATATACACGGAAAAATATGGTAGGTTCCTAACACATAACAGATGCTATCTAAAGCATTTTATATAGATTTTCTTTATATAATTGTTTAGCCGTTTGTATCTCCGCATTTTCTATCATGTCTATATCAATATCATATCTAATGTATTTTCATTAAGTACTATTTTACCTCATCCTTATATCTAGCTTCAATTTACGTTAAGAACCACCATGTTATGTCTGTACCCTGATTAGTGATCCCTTATTTTGTTTTATTTCCTTTTTCTAATATATAGGATATGTTCCCTTACAATTCCAGAAGTTAGTGTATACATGCTTTTAACGTTAAAGGCTACCTTAATATTGTTTCCTTTTTCAAATGTTGAAGGCTACCTTAATATTGTTTCCTTTTTCATCTTTCTAAGTAACTCCTTCTCTTATTTGTCTTTTCCCAATTCTTGTTTCTATCTCTATAAAAAATCATGCCTTGTGCCACCCAAAAACATTTTATACATTTGATCTATCTCCAATAGATCTTCCAGGCTCTTTTTAATTAGGTCTGCTGATTCTCTCCCCTTATCTCCCTTTAGCACATCTAAAACATTCCTTGGCTCCAGGGTTAGAATTAGATCTCCTGGGTTTTCTCTTCTAATTTCCTCCAGCCCCTCTTTTGATTGGCATACATCATCCACCACACTCTCATTTCCTTGTTCATGATTCCATGTCTCCTGTTGACTGTAGTTTTTCTTCAACTGCTCTATGAATAATTTTGCCTCTTCGTTGTGGGATCTCACTATTTCTAAAATTGCTTGAAGGGTAGACTTTGTTTCATCCCAAAATTGTCGTTGTTGTGGCATTATGTCCCAGATGTCAAATAATTGTATTCCCAGTGAAAGTTGTCCATATTCTTAAAGTAATCAGTCCAAATACATGAATACTTGCTTTCATAGGTCCACTTTAATAGATTGATCATCTTAAATCCAGCCTCAAGACATAGAGAGTTTTTCCTGCCTAGAGGCTCAAAGTCCAATCAAGTTCAGAGCCCAGGTTACAGTTTAGAAGTTCCACTTTGGCTGGATTAGGCTTTCTAGGGTTAATGTATCTGCAGTTTAGTTCCGTCCTCAAAAAGAATGGGAATTCCAAACAGCCATAAAGTGTTCCAGGTCATTGATTCTAGGCTTTTTGCCAGCACCTTAGATAGCTCTTACATGTAACATAAACAAGTTTAGTTTCCCAGAGTTGTTGCCAATGATATTTTCAAGAGAAAGATTCTTAGAGTTTATAACGACAAAGGAATACCAAACTTCCTTTCTTGAAGTATAATTAAATGTCTAATTAATGTCCATTTTTTTCCTTGTGTCTCCCTGTGTCTCCTCCTCTCTCCAGATTCACCGCTGCTCAGTCAGTGGTGGGGGATAGAAGAAACTATTTCTGCTGTGGAGATTGTCTTGTCCAGGGATAGTCATAAAGCAATACAGTTAAAAATTGTTTCTCACCCAGTAGTAGCACAATGTTAATTAGGCTGATTTATCGCTTCTCCATTGCCAACTGCTGACGACTTGCAAGCAAGCTAGTTCAGCTGCTTGTTTCCACCCGCTGGTTGATTGGGGAGTTTCCCAGACCAAACGTGGATAATGGCTGTTGCCCCCGTGATCAACAGGCTTCTCCCCCCCCAGTTCACCACCTCTTTGGGGTGGTTTTTAACCCCCTGGGGTGTCCCAAACAGGTCAGAATTCAGCCTACGGGACAGAGCTCCGTCCTCCTCCTGCTGTCTCATTGCAGCATCAAGCTGGAAGTCCTACTTTTAAATCCCCAAATGGCCTGAGGCCCAATCACCCAAAGGCACAACTTCCCCATGTCATCCTGCCTAAGCATTAAGCTCATATCTTCATATGAGGCCGTTCTCAGCTAGGGGTATTAGACCTGTTAATGATGTTATTGTTGTTGCACTTCTACCCTGCCTGTCCATTACTCTCTAACATTCAAGGCTTACCATCAACAACACAATAAAAACGCTTAAACCGTTTATTCATTGGATCATTAAAATCAAATAAAAGTAAAGGTCATGATGTCATGTTTGTAGAAAAGCTTTTCTGTGGTTGCTCCTCACTATGAAATGCCTCTGTAGGAACATTCAGTCTTCTGGGTGCTGTATCAAGTCAGATTTATTTGCCTAGATATTTTAGACAGATTTTAACTAAACAGACAACACTTCTATTTGCGAAGGCTTTCACGGCCGGGATCTAATGGTTGTTCTGGGTTTTTCGGGCTCTTTGGTCGTGTTCTGAAGGTTGTTCTTCCTGACATTTCACCAGTCTCTGTCGCTGGCACCTTCAGTGGCAAGGAATAGGCCAGATTACTCATAAACCTGTTTACAACCATTAGACAACACTTCTGCTTTGTAAAGCAGAATTATAATAGAGAGCATGGTGTCATTGTTCCTGAATTTAAATTAGAGATTACTTTCAATTTGTCAGTCACTTTTAGGGGCCCATATGGTATACACCTGACTCTATATTCAATGCAATTTACTCCCAG